CATGAATGCATCAGGGTTTCTGGCATGCACCTGAGATCCAATGAAAAGCTATATCCCACACTCTTCATGAAAAACCCTACAGCTAGCATAAAGCACAGATACTACTGCTAACAGATTTTCCCGTTCCTATTTCAAACCCTGGAAAAAAACACAGCATTAGATATGTGGCAATGGTGAGAGTCATGCAGTGCTCACAAACACAATTAGAGAGATCACCACTACCTGGAGGGTCTGGACTTGCTGGCCTGAGGCGGATGCCACCTGGGCCTCAGTCTGCAACTGGACAGCAGTGACACCACCCTGCTGCTGGGAATAGGAACAGGAATAGCTTGAAACATGGAAATGCACAGCTCTGACAAGAGACGACGACACTTTGCTGGAAGAGGGTGAATTTAAAATTCATACACACTGCTCTTGGAACATAAGGAATGTGAATAAGTTTAGCAAACCTAAGAACGGAATACCAACAAAACCACGTAAGATGCTGACAGGCTTCAATATCCCAAACAAAAATCACTTACGAAGAACAGAAGAGATTATTTTGCAGAATTTAAAATCTCAGCTTCAGTGTTTTAGACTGCTACCTTTCTGCTTAATGTTTCCTTTCACTGCCCAGGTTTCTTACTGTGAAGGGGTTCCAGATTTTTGTCAGACTTGTTAGTTACAAAAAAGGCCATAAATTCCTTTCTGCACAGAACAGCAGCACAGATGACTACAGTTTAAGCTTCATCTATGTCACACCTTCATCAATGTCTGCCCACCACTGACCTTGAAGGACAATCTTGAGAGGCTGCAAGAGCAGTTAAATCTAAAAGCCTTTTCTATCTTTAGCCTCTTTAGTAAGAGTCCCAAAATAATCTGTTAACTGTGTTAGCATTTGGGAGATGAAGGACATCTCTCTAACAGAAGTTGTACTACAACAGGCCTGTTAAAAAACATTTATTTTAGAAAAACATTTCACGTCAAATACAACACAGGCTTTAAGAGCATGTACTATAAATGAAACAAGCCAAGGTATGTTTTTACCTCCCTTTTACCTACAAAGTGTCAATAAAACCAAATATATCTTTGGTTACCTGCTGGAAGCAGGTATTTTTGATAATTCTTAAGATATAATTTTTTAACCTCAAGTACAATCTTGTTCTGACTCAAAAAGTCAACTTCAACTAAATTCAATGGAAGAAGCTGGTCCCCGCTATCAAACGCTCAAATAGGCTGATGCAAAGCAAAGCGTATCTCACTGAAAACATAATCCAGTGGCTCATTCATTTGCATGACAAACTAAGAAACTCCTCATCTTGAACTAGAACAAACATAAGCTGCAACAAAAATTCAGCACCAGCACAGCTCATCTGAAAATGCCTTACTATAGCTGAATGGGCGAAGCTTAACAACAGTAAAAATCTATAAACCCTTAAAAAAACCCAGCTCTGCTCATCTGCACATTATAACATGAACTAGAAACTTCTTTCTGGAATGGATGAATTCATCCAAAGCTACATGTTTTGTTGCAATTCCTGTACTGTGTGTTCATTTTGATCCACCTGTAGTTCTAAGACAAAGGATCTCCATCAATACTTCTTTTGAGAAAGCTACAGAAACCCTCTATGGGCTTGAACAAAACCTATTTCAATTTTGGGGGGAATCTACATTGTTCCTTGTGGACAACTGACCGTATTAATATTGGGTTTCCTCCTTTTCAGAGAGGATTTGTTACTTTCCTCACGTCACTACCAGTTTGCAAACTCCCTGCTACACTGAAATTTGGTAACTTGTATACCTGCAATTTTATTAATTTAATTTTATAGTAAGTGTTTTTTTAAAAAACGTATTTACTCTGACTTCAAGTCAAGTCAGATCACTGACCACTGATAAGGTGACAGAAGTCAGGTAAACACACATCCAGACAGTATCATGAAGCATCTTGCTGGTTCTGTGAAACTCTGAAAAGTACAAAAAGATTTGTAACTCGGCACTGGCAATGCCAGCTCACCCGTTATCACTTTCCATACCTGCTGCTGAATCTGTCCAGCCTGCACAACGATCTGCTCTGTGGAACTGTTACTATTCGCCGTGTACTGCTCCATAGCGCTTCAGTTCCAATACGATAAAAGGCACACCTCAGCCTGTGTATCTGGCAAGGCAAGTTAAAAAAAGCAGGTGATTATCGTCCCAAGGTTGGAAGATTAGTATTATCTTACAATAGCTGAAAAGCAAACCATCTGCTGACATTGAGGTCAGAATCACACAGTAAGAGCCGCTGTTTAATCAAGGACCTACCACCTCTTTCATAACGTCACCTTACTTTTCATTGAGTAACAAAACTAGAATTGTAATTTCAAGAACACATAACTTGACTGAGAAGCAAAAAGTATCTCAATCTCAATTCTGTCGTTATCTTCAGGCAATCAAATAGTAGCTACGGATCTGATTCTCTTCCTGTTTTACCCCTCGAGTCTGCGTATTCTGGGCTACAGACAGTTGCCTACACTGCATATTGGTGGAGAAGAGGGGTGTTGTCACTAAAAAACCTCACAAAATACAAAGTTTAGGTGTAAAAGCAAACTACATTTCAAGAATTCAACAAAGCTAAGTGAAACTGTCTCTCCTTCCCCAACTACGCAGCACTCCCTCCTCATCTCTCTTTCTTCTCTTCCTACTTTCACGTATTTTGAAAATAGCCAGCAGACTTCTCACTGCTTCCATCCTTTTACTGCCTCTCGTTTCTTGGACCCTTGCCGACACATATGAAGAACACACTGTTGAAACAAAATACTTAGTTCCATTACCTCCTTCTCCCTCGCATTTATTCCCTTCTCAGTTGATCAACAAGGGAAGAATTCTTACTATTACTTTTAATGAGGTATTTGATTTATGCTATGACTGAACAAGTACCTGCTACATTAGTGAAAAAGCAGCCTGTAACTTTAATCTTTGAAGTCTAAAGCAACAAAAAACCAGGCCCCTTCAGTTTTCAAAGAAACGCACACAAAATTTATTCACAACTTTAACTAACTGTAACTGTTGCTGTGGTTACTACTGTAATGACACCTCTCACACTTCCTGCTCTTTAACTTTAAAACATCCTTTGTACTTCAGTGTCTTGCATTTATCTTAAGAACATTCTTTTTTTCATCGACTTATTCCTCACCGTGACCTAAGCAAACACGCAATGATTTTACATTTTGTTGTTTTCTTGCACGTTAACACTAAATGTCGCTCACCTACAAAAATAAACGATTAACCAGTATGTATCATGAAACACCAGAAGCATGCTCGTTACAGGGGGCATAACACTCAGCTATAATAATGTAAGAACCTTCTCAGCCCCTATCAGATCTTTTTTCCAGAATAAGGATGTAATGATGCTGAGCCTGGAGATCACAAAGATAATCTGAGTCACAGCACCGAAAGGCACTACATTTGACTGCAATTTTAACTCTATCCTTGGCCCATTTAGTAAGAGTTTTTCACAGCCTGCCAGAATAAAAGGAGATAAATATTCTTTCTGAGGATGATACTGGCTACTGAGGTTCTCGTTTCAATTTTGCACTGTATACTTAATTTCTGCCCTAAATGCCTGTGGGCCTGTCAGAAAACAGCTCCCACATTTCATTCTGCAGGGAAGTATTTCAATAGCAAGCACAGGATGCCAGTAAACGGCATTTGCCAGAAGTTCTCTGGCTTCCTTAGCGCCACAACCAATACTCAAGCACAGGCATACCTCTGCTCGGGAATGCTTCTTCACAGACCCCCGTATCAAGCCCCTGTCTTCTTTACTTAAAATATTAGCAGCATTGTAATCCTAACTCTCTGCACCAGCTGTGGCTAGCCAAAGTTACAAGCAGGAGATTTTACGTGTGCTGGATCGTAGTCCTCCAAGGGATTACTTCATTCCCTTCATTAAAACACAGAGCAGCAGCGTTACTGTATCAAAGTTAAATTTTAAAGATCGCTGATCTACTTCAATGGCACGCTCCTCCCACAGCTGATCTCACCAGTCGGCTCCTCCTCACCCAGCCCTTGTCTGCACTGAAAATGACTTAGTGTTCTCTCAGTACATATTAATATACATATATATATACACACGTATGAGGCGATAGAAGCTGCATCAACAACGGTTCTCTTGGCAAGTAAGTTATGCTAAGGACAAACGAGTGCGGTAAACTGTGCTAGGACCTGAGCTAGCTTGAAAGCATCGTTTTAAAACGTGCTGCACTCTGAAGCAACATTACTAAATTGGCAGAAGTTTCTAGGGCAGACCCTGTCAATCCACCCGGATGACGGCTGTCCTCTCAGGACGCCAGTGGAGGACAGACGCCCACGCGAAGCCAAAGACAGGATTTAACCGAACAGCACAGGCCCCGCTCTTATCTCCCACCGTTCGGCAGGATAAAACATGTGGTACGCAGATTTTGTTTCCGACCTCCTTATCGAACACGCGAGTCAATTGGAGTGCACCCAGGGACGTTTTTCTTTTATCGCAGAAAGCCGCAGGCCTGGGGGTTTTCTCGGCGGGCAGAGCACGCTGCGCTGTGCTCAGGCGGACGAGGCAATGCCCTGCAGCTCACGGAGGAGAACGCGAGGTAGCAGCGGGGCCCCTCGCTCCCGCAAAAAGGGCAGTTTCTCCTCACAGGGGAGCACGTGGCTGGCGACATTTGGCGTCCAGGTGCGTTTAGGGGAGGCGGGAGGGGGAACGCGCACACCCGCTTCAGCGGCACGCTGGCAGCCCCGGG